ATTCTGAATCTATCATAAAGGAAATGAAAACTGCACACTTTGTCCAGTTAATTCATTGTTTTGAAACATAATGGATTTTGGAAATAAATTTAACAACACCGCTGGAGTTTTTTTTTGAAGATATTACTAACAGTTTTTTTTAGTTGTTCGTGGGATGTGGACTTTACTGGATAAGCCAGAGGGCATTTAAGAGTCAATCACGTTGCTGTGGGTCTGGAGCCACATGTAGGAACCAGATGGGATTTTATGACAATCAGCAGTGGATACATGGTCACCATGAGACAACTTGTTATTCCAGAATTTTACTGAATTCAGATTTCACCAAGACAAGGTTCCACCTGGTAGCCTTGTTAGTAAGGTTATATCACATGGGATCCAGGGGGAGCTAGCCAATTGGATACAAAATTGGCTTGAAAGTAGGAGACTGAGGGTGGTGGTGGAGGGTTGCTTTTCAGACTGGAGGCCTGTGACCAGTGATGTGCCACAAGGATCAATGCTGTGTCCACTGCATTTTGTCATTGATATAAATAATTTGGATGTGAATATAGGAGGTATGGTTGGTAAGTTTGCAGCCGACACCAAAATAGGTGGTGTAGTGGACAGCAAAGAAGATTATCTCAGAGTTCAACAGGACCTGGTTTAGATGGACTAATGGCCCAAGGAATGGCGGATGGAGTTTAATTTAGATAAATGTGAGGTGTAGCATTTTGGTAAAGCAAATCATGGTAGGATCCATACATTTAATGGTAGGGCCCTGGGGAGTGTTGCCAAACAAAGAGACCTAGGGATGCAGGTGCATAGTTCCTTGCTTGCCTTTATTGGTCAGAACATTGAGTGTAGGAGTTGGCATGTCATGTTCCAGCTGTACAGAACATTGCTTAGGCCACTTTTAGAATACTGCGTACAATTCTGGTCGCCAAACTATAGGAAAGATGTTAAAGTTGACAGGGTGTAGAAAGGATTTACAAGGATGTTTCTGGGATTGGAGGGTTTTGAGCTATAGGGTGAGGCTGAATATTGAAGCTGAATATTTTTTCTGGAGCGTTGGAGGCTGATTCATGACTTTATAGAGGTTTATAAAAGCATAAGTACCATGATAGCGTGAATAGCCAAGGTCTTTTTCCTAGGGTGGGGGAGTCCAAATCCAGAGAGCATAGGCTTGAGGCCAGAGGGGAAAGATTTAAAAAGGACCTGAGGGGTATTACTTTCACACAGAGGGTAGTGCATATATGGAAGGCTGGTACAATTACAACATTTAAAAGGCATCTGGATGGATATATGAATAGGAAGGGTTTAGAGGGATATGGGTCAAACATTGGCAAATGGGACTAGGTCAGATTGGGATATCTGATCAGTGAGGAAGAGTTGGACTGAAGAGTCTGTTTCTGTGCTCTATGACTGTATAAGTGCCATGTGGGATTTGAATCCATGTCCCCAGAACTTAAGCCTGGGCTTCTGGATCACTAATCCAGTGACACTGTGGCTATGGTACACCTCCCCCTAAGGATAACATAGAACTAGCCAACGTGATGTATTTGGGTTTTCTGAAGGATTTCAATAAGGTCTCACCCGGGAGGTTAGTGAACAAAATTAGAACATAAGGAGTAATGGGTAACATGTTAACATGGATTGAGGATTGGTTAACACGATATAAACAGAGTAGGGACAAGTGGATTGTGCTCAGTTTGGCAGTTTGTGACCAGTGGGCATCACAAGGATCAGTGCTTGGGACCAAGCTGGACAATCTATGTCATTGATTTCGATGAGGGGTCTCTGTGTAATCATTCCAAGTTTGTGAGCGACACCACATTGGGAATGAGAGCTGTGAGGGGCATGCAAAGGGGCTTCAAGGTGATTTAGACAGACTGACTGGCCAAGAAAATGGCAGATGGAATATAGTGTGGGCAAATGTGGTTAAGGTAGGATAAATGGAGAAACAGATTATTTCTTAAAAGATGAGAGATTGGGAAATGTCACTGTCCAAAGGGACTTGGATGACCTCATTCATAAATCACAAAAAGCCACCATGCAGGTACAGCAAGCAATTGGTTTGTTGTCCTTTAGCACAAGAGGATTTATGTACAGCAGTAAAATTGTCTTACTTCAATTGTATTGAACCTTGGTGAGACTGCACCTAGTACGTTGTGTGTCATTTTAGTCCCTTAACCCATGAAAGAGAAAAGAGAGAGGGTAGCAGAGGTTTACTAGAATAATTTCTGGGACAGTGGGCATGTCCTATGAGGGGAGATTGTGGTCTGGGCCCGTATCTTTGAGATGTTCCCCCTTGGGAGGTCTAGAACCAGAGGGGATAGTTTTACAATGAGGGACACAGTCAGATGAGGAGGAATATCTACATTCAGGAAGTAGTGAATCTTTGGAATTTTCTTCCCTGGAGGACTCTGAAAGCTTAATCATTGAGTATGCTTCAGATACTAGCGACATCAAGGGTTACACAGTGCCAGAAATTAGCATTGAGATGATGATCAAATATAATCTAAACTGGCAGAGCAGGTTCAAAGGTCTGAATGGTATACTCCTGTTCCTATGTTCTCTCCATTTACATTTCATCACGACACCTCTGCCCAATTCACAAATCTGTTTATGTCTTCCTGAAATTCTGTTACTACCCTCCATATTGTTAACTATTCTTGGCGGAGTATTCATCCACAAATTTGAAATTATTGTCCAAAAGCACAAGTCATAAAGAATAGCGGCCTAATAGCGAGCCCTGGGTTAGCCTCATTCCAATCTGTAAAACACCATTCACCACCACACTCTATTAGCTTTAATTATGCTAACAGGCCTGTTTGTACTTTGTCAAACACTCTTTTGAAAGTCTGTATGTAAATCAATTGCACTACCCTCTTCGACTCTGTTACTTCACCAAAATCTCCCAATCTAATTAGTGAAACAAGCGTTACTTTTAATAAATCAGTGCTAGCATTCATTAAAAACCAAAAGTGCTGGAAAAGGTCTGGTAGCATCTGTGGGGATAAAAATAAAGTTAATGTTTTGAGTCAAACAAGACTCATCTTTGCAATAGATTTCTGAAAATTTATGATCGCCCCCTTCGCTGTTGTATGCTTTTATCTTAGTGCTAGCTTTCATATAGTGACCCATAGTTTTTCCAGCACAATGAATTTTGTCTATGATGATGGTCTCTGAAAGTTTACCCGTCGTAGATGGTTGAGCCTACAGTTGCTGGGTTTATCCCTCCTGTTTTTTAAAGGCAATTGCAATCCCACAGTCCTCTTGGATTGGCTCAATATCTGAGGAGAATTGGAAGATTGTGACCAGTCTGCATTTCCTTAGCAACTCAGAATGTATCCATTGTAGACTGTCATGGTCTAACAATATCTTTAAGTACCATCCTTTTTAAAAATCTATTTGTATCCTATCCAACATTGATTACCACCTCCTTTCCTGTTACATTGACAGCATCATCTGTTCTAATGAAGACAGCAGCAAGTTAGTTATTCGACCTCAGCCATGCCCCTGACTCAGCAAGAAAATCTTCTTTGATCCTGAATCAATTCCATCCTTCCTTTAACTATCATTTTACTATTTATCTGGTTACAGAATACTTCTGAATTCCCTTTTATGTTACCAGCCTATCTGTTCTCATGTTCTGTCTTTACCCTTCTTGTTCCCTTTTGGATATTCTCTGTCCTTTCTATTTTCAGATTGGTTTTCAATTGCATTATTAACTTAACAAATGTCATCAGCTGACTTTTTCTGTTTCATGTTTAACTTTCTATATCTTTAATCATCCAGAGAGCTATAAGTTTGAATGCCCTTACCTCCTGATCTTCACCACCACCAACAACTATTTGTTCATTTCTGGGATGAGTGTCTCATTGACCAAGTCACCATTTGTTGCCCGTCTCTAATTGCCGTTGAAGGTAATGTTGAGCTGCTTTCTTGAACTACAGCTGCCTATCTGGTGTAGGTAGACCCATGGTGCTGTTAAGAAGGGAGTTCCAGAACTATAGTGGCAGTAAAAAAAGCCATAGTTCCAAGTCAGGATATTGTATAGTCTGGAGCAGAATTTGCTGCCTTTGTTTTTCTATTTCATTGAGACTGTATATTTGGAAGATGCTGTCAAAGGAGCCTTGGTGAGTTGCAGCAGTACATCCACTACTCTGTAGCCAATATTTCCTTTTTTGTTTTGAAGGCATCCTTTCCAATAACAATTTTATCCACCAATTTTGATTTCAATCCACCTGCCCCAGATCTCTCTCCAACCTGCTGAAGTTAACCTTCCTCCTGTTAGTATTTTTGTGACTGGTTGTATCCTGCCCCTTTTCCATAACTCTTTGAAACCTGATATTATGAATACTGTTTCCCAAATTCTTTCCTCCCTGAAACATGCCTCATTTGTCCCACCTCATTTCCCAACTCTGCTTTTTCTTCCACATTGAACTAGCAACACACTGATCAATAAAGTTCTTCTGTATACATTTCAAGAATTAGTCTCTTTCCCCATCCACCTATCTTGTGCTTTACACAATTACAATCCTAGCTATTTTCAGATATTTGAAATTCTCCATTATCATTACTCTGTGGTGTTCTTTCTGTAAATTACCTGGAAATTTGCTTTTTTCCTGAACTTGGCACCAAAGCTACAGTTGAGGAATTATCATTTAATCAATACTGGTATCACCTTTTTTCCTTCAAACTTTCCTGAATATCTTCTACATCAGAAAAATTAAGTTGTCAATCCACTGCTCCTTTAGTCCCGTGTGGCAATTTGTGCCTGCAGATAGTCAGCTTTATTTGCAGCATTTGGCATATGCACATACGTGGACTCCAAACTTATCTCGTACTGTTCTGCATTTACGCCTGCCTGATCCTCCTTTTTAAGAACTATTCTTTATTCCAGGGCATTTTGACTCCTCAAGCCCCCGTATGCTTTGTTTTTCCTCTTTGTTTTAGGGAAAGGCACAGCGTTGCTCATCTGTCTCAGTGCTGGTATAAGTAAGTCAATTGATTTTCCTCAGATCTGTCAAGCTCTCCCCCTGGCCCGTACCATCAGGATCCATATGTGTACAAACCTGAGGAGAGGATTAAAACGCCACCTATTCTGCCGCCACATCTTCTTCAAGTAATTCTGAACAAGGACACGGGCATTTCAGTGAGTACACATCACTGTCTTTTTGTTTTTCTGCATTGATTTGATGTTTGATTTCATCTGACAGGGATGATCATTTATCGCAAATTTATTTTGTTGTATTTTAGTTCAGTACTGTTGGCTTTAATAAACATAATCTGATGGTTTGTCTTCGTATCAGATATCTTTATTAATAGACTTTAATGTCTAGAAGCAGGATCTGTGAGTGGGCTGTTAGTGCTTTGTATATGTGTGGTTAATGCACAAGCCAATGTCTGTGTGCCTGATGTTTTGTGTATGAGCCAGAAGCTACATACTGGTGCTTCAGTTTTAAGTCCAGAGATAAAATGAGTTATAAATTCACTTGCTGCTCCTGAAATCTTAACTCCCAGGCCTCATTTAAATCCCACTGGTCAAATCAGTGGGAAGAATGAAAGATTGAGCAATAGTCCTCAGGCATGAGGTGTTGGGAGGGAGTGGGGGATCACTTTCAGATCTGTGGAGGCCTAAGCTCAAAGTACCTTCCAGCCAGTGAATCATTTTGAGGTGTAATTACTATTGTGGGAAGGTGTCCTCATTGTCTGCTCAGGAAAGCAGGTTAGAATTGATGACTTAGAATCTTGGGTGATCTTAACGGCCCACATCCTGGCAATTGGGTGGGTTAAACTCTTCACATTTTCTGGTACTGAGTATCTCTAGTCCTGTGCATTGTTGTGTATTCAAGTCAAGAATTGTCTACACATGCACAAGGGAATGAGATATGTATGTGTACTGGATACAGAATGTAGAAACTGCCTCAGACGGTTTTTCACCTGACTATTCATGCCCAGACTCTAGGCAAGATTCCCCAATTTGTTACAGTTCCAGACCATTCCAAAAACATTTGCAAATCATTAAGCTCCCAGGTGAGGAGGGACAAATGGGCTCCTCTACTCTATTCACCCATCCCCTCTGTTGGTCACATCAAGGTTACTTCTAAAAAGGTTCCCACCCATTGTGGATGCCTTTCTCCCAGACCTGAATACACTTTTATGTTTTCAAAGGAGTGAATTTAGCCAGGGTTTTTTGAGTTAACACACAGAATGAGTTTGTTAAGAAGCAAATGCAAGAAGTAGTAGCAGTGCAACACACATATATGATTAGAAATTGGAGGTGAATTCAAAAATACAAAATTAAATATAATGATACATGCAAATCAATGTCGTGGAGGTTACCGGTTGCATCACCTTGGTATTTGAACAGTTAGGTTCAAGATTCTTTGTTTTGTAGGTTGGTTGTGATTCTGTTGTTCTGATTCCCTTTTGATCATGACTGAATTCCACTATTCAGAGTGAGGGGAAGTCCCTTTGTTGATCTTGCTTCCTTTTGCCTGGCTCGCTAGCTAACTGGCTGCTAGTACTCAGAGTGGCAGTGTCCCTTTGACCTGCATCACAAGGGCTCTTCGACCATGAGCTTTAAGCCCAGGCTAGTGTGCATCTGAGAACCACAGTTCCACTAGTCCATGCACAGGAGTTTCAGTCCCACTAGCTCACTCCAGTAGAACTGAAACTGACCTTTTAACCCCTGTCTTTGTGTATTCTTAAACAAGAAGAACACTGATTTAATTTGTAGTTTGGGACATAATTTACAGGGGTGACTTGCTGTTGAGAATGGACCATCAGCTCCTCGGTATCTTTGTAGTCACAAGAGGTCACGGTCCAGTCTGTTTAGAACTTGCCTCTTCCTCCCTTTGAAATACTGTTGTTAAAAGTTCCCTTAACTTTTGGTGTGATATTCCGTGGGTCTGTCTATCTCGAACCAGCTATATAATTTACATTCACAGCCATTTTTGGCTGGATCAGCATTTTATTTGAAAGATACATTTTGGAATTACAACTTACAGTGTCCATAGTATTTCAGGATTCTGACCAGTGGTCATGACACCACTGAGTGAGTCTGATCCCGCTAATGTGTGCTGAGCACTCTGTCTGTTATGGCTGTCTGTGTTTATCACAGAATGATTTATAACCAAGTTGCTATGTACTAAATACAATCTCTGTTCCAAAATACAGAGTTACCGTTTCAGTTTCAAACTCTCCCAGGGCCCTTTATTAAACTTTACACCCATTTGGCCCATCAGACATGGCCAGATCAGTTCTCCAGTTGCAATTGTTTGGTTTGACCAACCTGCCCTGGAAAGATGTTACCCCTCCAACCTTGCCTCCCCAGGAACTGCCTGTTGTGAACCAACTTCTCCTGTTTCCTGAATAAAGCTGTAGGAAAGTGAAAGATACAGCCTTGTATGGCTTTGAACTTTTTTTTCTCTCTCAAGCAAGCAAGCCCAGGTTCTGGAGGTTACCAACCTAGAATCTAGTGCATATTTTATACATAGCATTAGGGACACATTCTCTGTGCTTGACAAAGTGTCTTCTAACGGTAGTTTGGCTACTATACATCACCAGTATCTCCAGAGAATTTAGGATTAGAAATCAAAGTGTTGTAGTAGAGACCTGGTGTTCAGCCTGTTCCCTTTGCTTTTACAGTGTGACCCTGCGTTGCTGCCAGAACCAAACCATGTCATGTTGAACCATCTGTACGCTTTGTCCATCAAGGTCAGTATTGCACCATCTATTTATCCCTTTAACTCTTCACGCATTTCTCCCATAGCTCCATTTCCAGTCTCCCCTTCATTCATTTCCTATTCCTCCCTCCGTTCTATAAGCCACTGGCCCTCTACAGTGTTGGTGTAAACACAATTTAGATGTGTGGTGTTTGGCTATGATCTCACCAGCGTGAACATAATACTTCAGAGTGTCTGTTCTCAAATACAAATCTCAGTCAGGTCCAAATAAAAAACAATCATGTTTTACTCCCATTGATTTTACAATTCAAGTCATGCACACAAAATGAAAAATCAGACTTGTTGGACAAAATATCTGAAGCATGATGCTCCAGTTATGTCTTTCTAGTCTATTGATAATTTGCCTGTTATTCACTGCAGTATTCCAGTGAACTCTGAGGAGTAAGCTCAATTAATTAAATTTCACTGATTGCATTATGGAACTCACTCACTATCCACCCTTTCTTTTCTATTAAATGGTCCAAAGTGTATTCTTCTAAAAGGATTGATGAAAAACGAGTAGGAGACTGTCCTTTCCATTCAGTCCCATTCTATACCACTCTCGCTTCACTTCTTCCATTCTGTGTCCTGTCTTTCAGTTTGTGCATCCCTCCAATTATACATCACGCCTTCGTATGCACTTTTTGCTGTTAAGTGTTATTTAATGTGGAACTCCTGCCTCTGAGACAGAAGATCAGACCTTCAAGCCCCAGTACAGACCATTGGCGTTAGCCCTTATATTTGTTGTACCATTTGGACTTTTTGGATGAGACAGATAAACCAAGGCTCTTGACGGCCTGTTCAGGGGTGAACATAGAAGGTTCTGTGGTACATTTGTAAGAAAAGCAGGAAACACCTTTTGTGTGATGACCAACGCATTACCCTTTGAGCAAAACCAATTGGTTGCTTATCTCTTTGCTGTTTGTCAGACCTTGCTGCGTACACATTGTTGAATAGATTTGTCTACATTGCAGCTACACTTAGCAGTATCTGTAAACTAATTTAGGACATCCTAAAAGTAACTATAATAATGCAGATTCTTTTCTGCTCCTCCATCCCCCCATTATGTAGTTGGCTGCAGTTTTCACAGACTGGGCACCCATATCCAATTCTGCACATGTCTCACACTTTTCCCACAACACCTCTGGATCCCATTGCCTGTGTTTCATGCTCACTGAGTCTGCACCCTATATGTACACCTCAGAATTTGTTTTAGAGTTGCAATCACTGAACAAAGCCTAACACTGAGCCCTTTACATCTGTCTGAGAAGGGAAACAGTTTAAAATTCTCATCCAGGCTGGTAAACGGTCCACTGGGAAAGGTGATGTAACCTAATACCATAGTGCCCAACTCTCTCGTGATTTTGTCCCGTTTGATTTCTGTGCTTAAAGTATTTGTAATTGTTTGCAGGATGGCGTTATGGTGCTGAGTGCCACCCATCGCTACAAGAAGAAGTATGTCACAACTCTGCTCTACAAGCCCATATGACCAGTCACACCATATTACTCTGTCTTCCAATCAGGAAGCTCCATTTCCTTCGGTGATCGCTCACCAGTTCTTGTCCCAGATGTGCTCGTGAGGACCGAATGGAATTGTAATTTCCAGAACCTTCTTCAGCAATCGATAACTTGCTTTACTTCCTGCTTCCTGTTTGTTAAAGGGAAATCTATAATCCGAACGCAGACAGAGTACCTCTCCTGATGGTTCCTCAGACTGAAGCGACACTGAAAAGCTAGACCCTAACCATGAATCCATATCTCTTACTGCAGCATTTCTGACTCCTATTTCAGTTTCTTCACCCTCGGGTCAGAGTGCTTTGTGGTCTTTTGAATCACAGACCTTGGATTCTGTGAGTGAAGGAGTCACTGGAGTTACCATCCTACATCGGTTTCACATCATCCTCAACATGTAAAAGTTCGAGGATGAGAGTCCTGCTAACAAGCTCTTGGTTAGATTGGGATACTCAATAAGAAGCATTCAGGTTAATTAAGGGAACAAAAGTGTGTGAATTTTAATGTACTGAAGAATGATTAGAAATTTGTGTTTCTTTACATTTATGGGTCCACTCTCTGTATTCCGCAGTGCTCACTGTACATACTCATGGTACATGGCAATGAGCAGATTTTCCTGTTGGGGTTGTGGAACCTTCATTCTGTCCCTGCTGATGGCTGGTGATAGGAGGACTCAGTGATTTGGGTGTAGCCTTTGGTATAGTGACATACTGTACTTCACTAGGCACTCTCCAGTCATTCAATTATATTCATAAAAGTGCTTCTGTAATTCTCCCAGTCAGTGAAAGTAGCACCGGAGTTTCTTGAGCAACATAAAGTCTTCCGTACATAGTGGAATTACATCTTTAATTCCATCTCCTCAGTCCATCACTACCGTGGCCCAAGGGATCATTTTTTATGTAAGTCTCAGTAACTGTTGTGACAGTGAATTCTGATCATGTGCCCTAGTTCCCTGGTTACTGGGAGATTTGGACTGCCCTTACTCAAATGCTGTTATTTTGTTCCAACCAATATGTTCAATTAAAAACTGAGAGATATGGACTTCCCTTTGTGCAGAGAATTTACCTGTACCAGTCCAGCAGTTCTAGCACATAAAAGCAAAGCCCTGAAGCAAATTAGCAGCTCTGGTAACATTGGTGGAGAGAGAAGCAGAGTTGTAATTTTAAGTTCAGTGACTCTTCTTCAGAATCCAGTTGTCTCATGCCCAGTTGCAGCTCTTCTCCCTTTTTTACATGTAGACAATTAATCAATTAATAGCCACCATTTCTTTTCTTTCTAACCTTACTATAAACAAATTCTTCCTGCGCGCGCGCGCGCGCGCACACACACACACGCGCACGCGCACACACACACACACACACACACACACCCCCCAACTCTCTCACGCACACACACACACGCACACACCCTCCACAGACACACACACACAGTTGGGAAGCTGTATCCTCATTCCGTCCTTGTAGGTTTCAGAAGTGATCAGGAACAAGAGCTCAATTAGTCTTTAGCATTCTTGCGGCAAGTTTGCCCCTCCTAATCCTGTCCTTGCTGGGATCAGCTAATTCAACACAGATGTAGAATAAGACTTGACTGCTCTCAGCTTCAGCATTTGTATTGGACGAGGTGTTTAAGCCATTAGGTCATTGGAAAGCATGCCAAAATAAAACCTGTTAAGCTCACTAGCATCCTTCCATTTATTCTCCTTCCTCCCTTAGCGTATGTGAGTATGAATCTGACCCAGCGTACATTTCTGACTAATTTGTTAGTGCCTGTGCAACTTTAAGTTCAGGGCTGGAGGAGGGACATGACATTTTGTCAACCAGGTTGTTACCTTTACCAAATGAGAGATTTGGAAGGACTCTCGGGCCGTGATCCTCTTGTTTGAATGGAGCGGACAATTGTGCCAGTTACGCTGTTTGCCTTTTAGCAGTTTCACTTTTCCTGCCAATCGGGCTCTGTCTGTCAAATAAATTCCTGAACTGTCAACTAAATTAAATTCATTCCATCTGTTGGACAATGTCACAAATCACTGAGATTAGCCTGTGTTTGTTGTACTCTTGTAACAGTGAACCTTGCAGGAGGTGGTCTGTTACCATGGAATTCTTTGGTTTGCTTGTATCATTGAAGTTCATTTGACAATCAATAAATGTCATGATTTGAGACCTGAGCCTGGATAGGTTGTAACGAATGCTACATGATAAGAAGTTGCTTTGCTGTTGTATATTAATCTATTGTGCTGGGCCTTATCTTCATCGTGTCCTCTATATGTATTTTACATTCAGGAGGTGGGTAATAAGGTTGGTGAACTTTGTGTAACTAGCCAGGTGGGAATGTAGTGCTGGCAGTAATGAAGATCTGCCTCAAAATAGGACAGGATTGGGTAATAAATATTACAGGATGCAAAGTGTTCATGAAAGATCAAGCAGAAAAGAATATGAGGTTGGGGGGGCAGTACTGATTAAAAAGAATATTCCAGTGCTAGACAGGGAGATGACCTGAAGTGGCCAAGGATAGAGAATTTGTTTGGTTAGACTAAATTATTAAAGATGCCATTACATCACTCTATGGGTAAAGTAGTGGCAAATATAAAGAGGAAATGTACTGTGAAATTAGAGAGGGATGAAAACTGTGGATCTAATAGGAGACTTTATCCTAGTCTGATTAATTGTGGTGGAGTGCCAGTGTCATTCTTTGGGAACATGGATTCAAATTGTCCACGGCAGGTGGTAGAATATAAATTTATTCAATGAATCTGGAATTAAAAATAAGGCTCAGTAACAGTGACCATGCAATCACTGCCAAGTGTTGGAAAAGCGCAGTCTGCTTTACTAATGCCCTTAAGGAAGGTAATCTGTCGTCTTGATATGTTCTGGCTTACGTGTGACTCCAGACCCACAGTAAAGTGCAGTGAATAAACTACTCCATCCAAGGACAATTTGAGATGGACAACAAATGCTGGCCTTGCCTGTGATGTCCACATCCTGTGAAAGGATAAAGGGAAAAAAAACAAAAAAACATAATCCCAAGAGGAAGCAGAACAGAGACAGATGGGATGTATAAGAACATAAGAAATCAAAGTGGATCATATTTTTCCTCCAGTCTATGCCACCATTAACAAGATGATGGCTGGGCTGATCTGATCTTGACCCCAACTCTACTTATGTCCCCTTTCCCCATAATCTTTGACTGCCCTGTGGATTAAAAATCTATACATTGACCCAGATTCCACTAGTATTCTTGGGTAGGGAATGCGAAAGATTCATTTCCCCTTCAGAGAAAAATCCTTCTCATTCCTGACTAACGTGGGAATCTGAGATAACAAGGTGTAGAGCCAGATGAGCATCAGAGGAGCAGGAAGGCTGACGTTTCGGGCCTAGGCCCTTCTTCAGAAATGGGGGAAGGGAAGGGGGTTCTGAAATAAATAGGGAGAGAGGGGGAGGCAGATAGAAGATGGATAGAGGAGAAGATAGGTGGAGAGGAAACAGACAGGTCAAAGAGGCAGGGATGGAGCTAGTAAAGGTGAGTGTAGGTAGGGAGGAGATAGGTCAGTCCAGGGAGGGTGGACAGGTCAAGGGGGCGGGATGAGGTTAGTAGGTAGGAGATGGGGGTGGGGCTTGAGGTGGGAGGAGGGGATAGGTGGGAGGAAGAACACGTTAGGGAGGCGGGGACGAGCTGGGCTGGTTTTGGGATGCGGTAGGGGGAGGGGAGATTTTGAAGCTTGTGAAGTCCACATTGATACCATTGGGCTGCAGGGCTCCCAAGCGGAATATGAGTTGCTGTTCCTGCAACCTTTGGGGAGCATCGTTGTGGCACTGCAGGGGGCCCAGGATGGACATGTCATCTGCGGAATGGGAGGGGGAGTTGAAATGGTTCGCAACTGGGAGGTGCAGTTGTTTAGTGCGAACTGAGCGTAGGTGTTCCGCAAAGCGGTCCCCAAGCCTCCGCTTGGTTTCCCTGATGTAGAGGAGGCCACAACGGGAACAGCGGATGCAGTATACCACATTAGCAGATGTGCAGGTGAACATCTGCTTGATGTGGAAAGTCTTCTTGGGGCCTGGGCTGGGGATGAGGGGGGAGGTATAGGGGCAGGTGTAGCACTTCCTGTGGTTGCAGGGAGAAGTGCCGGGTGAGGTGGGGCTGGAGGGGAGTGTGGAGCAGACAAGGGAGTCCCAGGGAGAGTGGTCCCTCTGGAAAGCAGATAAGGGTGGGGAGGGAAAAATGTCTTTGGTGGTGGGGTTGGATTGCAGATGGCGGAAGTGTCGGAAGATGATGCGTTGGATCTGGAGGTTGGTGAGGATGAGGGGAATTCTGTTTTGGTTGTTATTGCAGGGAGGGGGTGTGAGGGATGAGTTGCGGGAAGTGTGGGAGACATGGTCGAGGGCGTTCTCGACCACTGAGGGGGGGAAGTTGCGGTCCTCGAAAAACGAGGACATCTGAGATGTACGGGAGTGGAATGCCTCATCCTGGGAGCAGATGCGGCAGAGGTGAAGGAATTGTGAATAGGGGATGGCATTTTTTGCAGGAAGGTGGGTGGGAGGAGGTGTATTCTAGGTAGCTGTGGGAGTCGGTGGGCTTGAAATAGATATCAGTTTCTAGGTGGTTGCTGGAGATGGAGACAGAGAGGTCCAGGAAGGAAAGAGAGGTATTAGAGATGGTCCAGGTGAACTTAAGGTTTGGGGTGAAAGGTGTTGGTGAAGTGGATGAACCGTTCGAGCTCCTCGTGGGAGCACGAGGTGGCGCCGATACAGTCATCAATGTAACGGAGGAAGAGGTGGGGTTTAGGGCCAGTGTAGGTACGGAAGAGGGATTATTCCATGTAACCTACAAAAGAGGCAGGCATAGCTTGGGCCCATGCTGGTACCCATGGCCACCCCCTTTGTCTGTAGGAAGTGGGAGGAATTGAAAGAGAAGTTGTTGAGGGTGAGGATGAGTTCGGCTAAGCGGATGAGGGTGTCAGTGGAGGGGGACTGGTCGGGCCTGCGGGACAGGAAGAAGCAGAGGGCCTTTAGGCAATCTGTATGGGGATTGCAGGTGTATAGGGACTGGACGTCCATGGTAAAGATGAGGTGTTGGGGACAGGGGAATTGGAAGTTCTGGAGGAGGTGGAGGGCGTGGGTGGTGTCACAGACATAGGTGGGGGGAGTTCCTGGACCAAGGGGGAGAAAATGGAGTCCAGATAGGTGGAGATAAGTTCAGTGGGGCAGGAGCAGGCGGAGACAATGGGTCGACCAGGGCAGTCGGGTTTGTGGATTTTGGGAAGGAGATAGAAGCGGGCGGTGTGGGGTTGTGGAACGATGAGGTTGGAGGCTGTGGGTGGGAGGTCACTTGAAGTGATGAGGTTGTGGATGGTTTGGGAGATGATGGTTTGGTACTCAGGGGTGGGATTATGATCAAGGGGGCGGTTGGAGGTGGTGTCGGAGAGTTGGCGCCTGGCCTCGGCGATGTAGAGGTCAGTGCGCCATACTACAACAGCGCCTCCCTTGTCCGCAGGTTTTATGGTGAGCTTGGGATTGGAGCGGAGGGAGTGGAGGGCTGCACATTCTGCGGGGGAGAGTTTGGAGTGGGTGAGAGGGGTGGAGAGGTTGAGGCGATTGATATCACGATGGCAGTTAGAGATGAAGACGTCAAGGGAGGGTATGAGGCCTTGGGGTGGTGTCCAGGAGGAAGGGGTGTGTTGGAGGCGGGAGAAGGGATCAGTAGAGGGAGGGATAGGCTCACGGTTGAAGAAGTGAGCATGGAGGTGGCAGAAATCTCTTTATTTCTGGACGATATCACCTTGTTGCGGATTATTTTTAGAATGTGCCCCTTTGTTAGAATCATAGAGTTGTACAGCACGGAAACAGAACCTTCAGTCCAACTCATTCATGCTGACCAGATATCCTAAATTAATCTAGTGCCATTTGCCAGCATTTGGCCCATATCCCTCTAAACCCTTCCTATTCATGTACCCATCCAGATGCCTTTTAAATGTTGTAATTGTACCAGCCTCAACGACTTCCTCTGGCAGTTCGTTCCATACACGCACCACCCCCTGTGTGAAAAAATTGCCCCTGAGGTCTCTCTCATACCTTCCCCTCTCACCTTAAACCTATGCTCTGTAGTTTCGGACTCCCCCCACCCTGGGAAAAAGACCTTGGCTATTCACTTTATCCATGCACCTCATGACCTTATAAACCTCTATGAGGTCACTCCTCAGCCTCCGACGCTCCAGAGAAAATGACCCCAGCCTATCCAGCCTCTCCTTATAGCTCAAACCCTCCAACCCCAGCAACATCCTTGTAAATCTTTTCTGTACCCTTTCAAGTTTAACGATATCTTTCCCATAGCAGGGAGACCAGAACTGGAAGCAGTATTCTAAAAGTGACCTAACCAATGTCCTGTATAGATGCAACATGACATCTCAAATCCTACTGATAATAAAAGGCGAGTGTACCAAATGCCTTCTTCACTACCCTGTCTACCTGTGACTCCACCTTCAAGGAACAATGAACCTGCACCCCAAGGCCCCTTCATTCTTTTGTATTCTTCATGGTACATGAGTTAGGCCAGCATTTCTGATTCATCCCAAATGCTCAGAGGGCACTTGAGAGTCAAATGCTTTGCTGTGGGGTTGGTCACGTGGAAGCTAGACTGCATAGGTCATCAGATTTCCTTCCTGAAAGGGCTTTAGAGAATCAGGTGAATGTGGGGAAATGTCTTAGCATCTACCATGACAAGCCCCCTGAAAATCTTGTGGCTTTTGATAATATTACAGCTTATTTTTCTAAACGCCAACTGGTGTATATAACGCATGTGCAAATTGCTGAAGGTAATGGGGTGTTTTGAAGTGACATCTGGGATCCTGGACTTTAAAGTAGAAGATTAATGTGGGAAAATAGGGAACTTACAATAAAGGTAAAATTGCCATTGTCTTACCAGACCATAGGGCGGCACTCATTAGAAAGAGATGACTCGTGGTGTTTTAACCTGAGGGTTACCATGCCTCAGGTAAGGCGAGAGGTTGAGAAGGAGAGTCTTTCATAGTCAACTCAGCCAGCACAGGAATTGCCCCCATCATATTGGCATCTCTGCATCACAGATCAGCTGTACAGGTCCCTTGTGCCTATTCTGCCACTGACTAAGATCATGACTGATCTGATTGTGACCTTTAACACCTCTGT